TCCAAGTATGATTATTTCAAATCTATAACCCTACATAAATATTTGCAAATGGACAACTTGTTAAGCGGTCGTCGGCAGCTGAAGAGGATATATAACAATTATTCGCATATTGTATTACCAAGGATTTAGATGCATGAATGAACTTCTGAAAACTCGCTACTCAAAAACTTGTCTTTTTAATTGTCAAAAGATCACTTCATCTAAATAAATTCAAAAAACAATAACAACCCCAACACAACTAGGGAACTCACTTCTAACGCCTTTTCATATCATTCGTAAGAACTTTATGCAAGAAATCCAGGAGGGTAATACAATATGCCTATATAAACATTGCCTATATGCCTATATAAACATTGGTGATTCCCTATATGCCTATAAATCTTGTTTGTTTTCAATAAAGTTTAAGAAAAAATTTGCATGATTGTTAAAATCCAATTACTTTTATACTCGGTTGCACATGAATTCCGTTGATGACATCTGGCTGAAATCAGCATAATTTTTGTAAAATCACATGTCACGCATCTATAATACATGACGCCCCAAATCATTAACACGAAAAAATGCCAAACAAATAGTGTTTGTTGATAAAAATTCATGATTTTTAAGTCGTGGACCCATTTTTTTTAATACAAGCTGTAACATCACCACCAAATACAAGGATCCATATAGCCACTGACTGATATAAGCAAGCAAACACGAACTATAGGACAAATGAACGACAAGATAGGGACCTATTCTTAATTTTACAAAAAATTTGTAGTCATTCCGCCAGCTGTTCCACGCGTTAGAATTTTCTGTCTCTTTCTGAAGTATTCAATTGGATCGTTTTATTTTATCGCATACCCTACTTCCAAATCTTTTAGATTTGGCAATTTGCAAAATTAGATGCCTTTGTGCAATAGGGGGTAAAATTATATTTTATACTGTTTTCATGCTTTTCTTAATTTATATTATATCCACCGTGCTATTATTTTGTTCACTAGCGTCCCTTTGTGTGCGCGATCGTGGACCCCGGCAGCGCCCGGAATCACTCGACAGGCTCAGAAGCAATTCAAGCAAACCAGTGAAGTTTCAAACTTAATTATGAACGTGGACTTGTGATAAATTATTTAACATAAATTAAATGTCTTTAATATTCATGTAATAAATGAATATAACCTACCATGAGGAATCAAAGCATTTATCTTTGATTTTATTTTCTTTGTTAAAACTATATAGAAACATGTAAATTTTTTTTGATATGCACTAACGAAACAAAAATACCGAGTTAACATATAAGTTCTTTATTTTTGTTGAGAATAAAAAGCACACAAACTGATGCAAACGATATATCTGCAATATAAACAATTTAAGACATTGTTATAACCCTACTTCTTCTTTCTTTTTTTTAAGAAAAATAATCCTACTCCTTATACGACCACACTTTTTATGTATCACTTGAAAATGAATCATAATGTAAAAGCTCATGTCAAAAAAGATGGAAAGTGATAAAATAGATACGTGTTCTAGATTTTAAATGGAATTTCTTGTTGGGAAACACGACATACAATGTAGTGGAATATGCATATCATGACCATTAATGGAAATTAATTAAAATTTAGAAGAATACCTGAAACTCTTTTCAAATTTCTTCAATAACCTGCCCAAGATCAATCCGAAATAGCTCCCTCAAGAGAAAAATCCTCCAATTGAAACCAAAAAGGAGCAATACTAAGAGATATATTCTCAAATTTCTATTTCTCTTCTGTTGTTCTCTTATTCTTATAAGGCTACATGTGAAGTCTATATATAGGATTAGACTTGTCTTATAGATTTTAATTTTAAATAATTCTTAATTGTTAAAAACTCTTTTCTGCAACAACTAAAGATAGAATATTCTTTCCATAACAATTAAAGATAGAATACTCTTTTCATAACAATTAAGGATGGAAATAGAATTGTATTACATTACATATATCTCTCTTCTAATAACATTAGTGAGACCATTTGGGTCTCATATCAAGAACTAATTATTAATCAAACTAATAATTTTAATTTAACAATCAATCCCTATCCAACCAGCTGTTCAAAAAAGCTCTTCCATAATATGAGATTAATTATTTATAAATAATATTTTACATTCAGTCTCATCCAGAATTATTCATTTTAGACAACTCTTTTGAGTATGACAATTCACATATTTGCTCATGCCTAAATTGTGATGAACATAAATAGAAATCATTTTAAAACATCAAAGTATTTTATTTTTATAAGAAAATAAACTTTTGAAAAATATTTTTCAAAACCATGTGTCGACAGAAATTTAATATCTTCATGAACATATATAATAAATTAACTCATCATAATGAGCATACAGAATCCTATCTAGATATCCATCATTTCCCTAAACAAACTTAGCAACCCAAACGTTTTAGGTTGTGTAGAACTTGCTAAACAAGATTAACCATCACATCAAAGCGTACTAAATTATCAATTAGAAATGACAAATATCATCAAGTCAAAGAGACCATGTAACAATTTGAATTCTTATCTCTTAGGTGACTAGAGAATTCAAATGCATTCTAATGCTACACACATCACAATTGTGCTCATGACATACACTTGAGGAATCCCTATTCGGGAGTGGTTGAGACCCAACATCACATCTCACATGTCGATGTCATGCATAATAACCTATTATATAACAAAGCTATCATTTACTAGTTATAGGTTAAGCACAAGTTTAAGAAATCTCTAAGTTAGATCACATCTCAAAGTAAGTAATACATCTCCATGCATAATCTAACAAAGTAGTTTTTAAGGATATATAACAACTATACAAAATGATACCCAAATTACATGTGCAACAATTAAATCCATTAATATTACGAGAATATTACATAATTTATATTGGACGTTTAATGACATATAATTAATATTCCAGCATCTCTATAGGTCTCAGTAGTTTTCTAGATTCAGAAAGATAAATTAATTTTAGAAAGGAAAAAAAAGGAAGAAGACAACATAATTCCAGAGTGTTGTAAGGATGATGCAGACGCGCACAAAGTTACACAAGGACAAAACCCAACTGCATCTTAACATTACTGAATCTTTAGATTAAGTTGGATTTATTTAGATTTATTTCTTATGCAAATAAGTCAGAGATAATTTTGATTAAAAAAAAGAAAAAGAAAAAGTCTTTAACCATGCTGTGGTTAGAAAAGTTGAGGTGGTGGATCGAAGAAAGCTTGGAGAACTTCAGCTGACTAGCTATTAAGATAGTATGAACCGTTCAGGTAAAATCTTACCTTGGTTTAAGCCTAATTGATTTCTTAGATCTATGATCAACAGTATTCATCATATTTTACATACTATATGTGGATAAATTTAGAAATTTATATATTTTTTCCCAGAAAAATTAGGTTAGAGTGGTCCAATGTTTTTAATTTTCTCAGACACCATCAATATCGTCCATTTTGTACATAACTGAGGTGATGACTAGAAATTGAGAAATGATAGAGGCACACCATCGACCACACCTCCGGCCACACCCCCCGCTACAGTGCAGAGGGCTCCACTTGAGATTTTTTTAAAAAACCTTACGTGGGGCCGCCAGCACTGTAACTAGAGTGGGGTATGATCGGAGGTGTGCCCGAGGGTGTGTCTGTAGCGCCTCCCTTAGAAATTTCTAAATGAATTTAATATACATGGATATTATGATTATGATGTGAAAAGCATCGATATTGACTACCCTATAGGCTTACTTTTTACCATAGCTCATGATAAAAGTCTTATCTCATAGTTTTGTTCTCCAAAGCGCAGCCATATTTAACGATTTTGTAATTTCTATATCTATATGTGGGCCGGCCCAATATCCCAATAGCCAAACTCAGGCCGGAGCAAACATGGGCTTTTATCTGTACCTAGAGCAAGGAAAAAGCCTGATCTCATCCGAACCTGAAACCACAGATTTCACCCAAACGGGATCCACTTGAACATAAAAAAAAAATAAAAATGTATTTTGCTTGTGTGCGCTCAAATATATTCTATTTGCAAAATTTATCTTCACATCGGAATATTTGGTAAGCGAATCAAGGTTCCCGAAAAGTGGTGTCCCTACAAATTAATAATTAAATAATATAATGGTTTCTATGGAGTTTTTATACTTTGAAAAAAATCAAGTATATAATTGTAACATCATTATAACATTATTAAACACATCTTCCTCAATGTATCATCAATTATTAAGTAATCATCGAGACAATCTTCACTATTTTATTCCGCAACTAATTTTTTTTTCAGATCATTATAAAGCTCGTTCGCCAATAATCACAGCCACAGATAAAATTAATACGTCTTCATACAAAAGTACACAAAAAGATAGAAATTTACTAGAGCTGAGTAGCAGCCAAGTTAAGAATTACAGTTGTGAATTTTTCAATTTTAGTGGGTTTGGATGAGGTTTAGGATCATGGATAAATGCGGTGTCATGTGACACCATTTTACTTCTAACGACTCTACACCTATGCAAATGACTGTATAATTGGTATTTCGTCTAAACATCCCTCCAATTTAACATTAATAATTCTAAACTGAAGTAAAAATAAAATGGTAAAAGTATAATTGACATCATGAAAAATAAGTCCTATTTTTCCATACCTAGCAAATTAATATATTTAAAGATCTACCTCTAAATTTGTATATTTGCTTTATCTCTATGAATTTTTGCCTTGCTATAAATGAATGACTATAAAACTCAAATGTAGAGGAATGTACGGTTAAATCAGCAAATATGTATATTTATACAACAAACCTGCAAATATGTATATTTATACAACAAACCTGCAAAAAAAAAAACCCAATTTAATGAGGAAGTAGCAAGTGCCCAATCCCCAATCGCATTTCGAGAAAGTTCGGGACGCGTGTCGTATCGGGTCGCTACTGTAGCGACACGAAAGCAAGCACGTCAACAAGAAATATCCCGAGCCTCCCCTATATAAACGGACATAAAGCTGTGCTCGGAGAGCTTTTCTTGGCGTTCAAGAGAGATCTACAGCATTCCATATTTGGAAAAAAAAAGCAAAACCCTAACCCTAGCGCGATTCATCTCAAAATCGAGAAGATAAACCCTAGAAAAAGAAGAGAAGCTCTGGGGATTCTATCAATGGCCGACCCTCTACAAAGGTAAGATAATTGGTTTCAGCTTCAAGCTGCTCTTTTTATTGAGTTTATTGTGTTTTTGGGGCTGGAATTAGGGTTTCGTACTCTCTTTATCAACTAGCCATGAAATTTATCTTTTTTATGTGCTTTTTATTTCCTCGGTGTCCTTGGTTAGGGCCTTGGGGGTTGATTTTTGTTTAGATACCTGGATTTTCATCGATCAAGAAAATTAGTCCTTGAAATAGGATCCATCTTGTGAAGAATTGGGATTTGGAGTTCTTATGTGTATATTGTGAACTTGGGAGTTGGCAGATGGGTATTTTGGAGTTCGTTTTAAGTTGAAATCCTCAATAAATTAGATTAGGAAGAATATAAAGTATTTTACCTTTTGCGCTGTTGAGAATCGTAAGCAAAGTAACTAGTAGGGATGTTGATGGCAATAGATTAGCAAGGTGGGTAGGGGATGGGGTGTATAGGATGAAATAAATCAAGCTAAAGGAGAGAGTTTACTAATCAATGTTGCCGGTTAGTATCATGTGATATGTTAGATAACATTGAGTTTGGTGCCATGATGACATTACACTTCTTATGTAGGATTTTTTAAAAAGGAAGGTTAGCCCCTACTTCTACCACGAGTCTCTAATTGAGCTTGTGGCGCCCTGTGAGCATATAGAAACAGTTCTGAGATTTGATAATTAATTAAGAGAGGAATTGTATTTGATTGCATGTAAATTGGAATTAAATTACATTTGACAATAATTACTTAGCATGTAAGTAGAGGGAGGATAGCAAGTTAAGAATATACGTGCATAGGATGTGCGTGTGCGCAGGGTCCTAAGGTGAGAAGGCACGGGCATTGGATTTGTGTGTGCAATATCCCAATGAGAGAAAATACGGGCGTAGAATGTGCGCGCGCGCATGCGGCACACTCGACATCCTACTAAAGGATTCTTATAACTTTCCTCCTTTCCAGCATATGCTATTGTTGTATCACTTGTGCATACGGAGAATGCATGAATTGCTTAATAAGCATGAATTTAATGATAATAACCTCTTTTGAGGATGTTCCTTGTTCATATTTCTTGGAGGCTGTCTTGGAAGATCTGGGAAAATAGGGGTGGAATAACTAGGTTGATCAATGGGTTAAAGGAACAATGGTGGCGGATGTAGACAATACTCTAGTGTTAATTTCTCCAAATTGTTGTAAAAGTAGGGCTGCACAGCAACCTGATTGTTCCTGTAAGCTACGGGGCAAGTCTTTGGTGCAACATAGAAGTTAAAGGTCTTTATCTGTGGTGGGAAAGTTTGAATGGTTGAAAAGTGAACAGTTGAACATTTTCCAAAGAGTCATTTCAAATTCACTGTCTGAGCGCGATTTTGGGGATGCTTTACCAGATAGTGGTCAGGGAAAGTTTAGGTAGTTGCAATAGAAACCAAAATGCTGCGTAATATTTACTCTGCCTGAATCCTTCTGGGAGGAGGTGCACACCAATCAGGTAGGGATAGGAGATGTCATTTACGATATTCATATTATCCCCTAGTTCGAGATAGGGATGCAAATTCATATATAATTAGGTAAGAATTGATCCAAGACAGGGATGCAAATCCATATATGATTAGGTGAGAACCGATGCATTTTAGCATAATTGAAAAACATATACGAATAAATAAGGATGTGGTTCGAATATACACATAGAATATGTATTATCCGCGTATGGTTTGAGTGCAGAACATGTATTATCCGCATATAAACACAGATATGACTATGGCACATAGTTTTTGTTGAGGCTCTGATATGAGCAATACTTGCTAGTTAGATGCCTTAAGTCAAGTATAAAGCCTCACCTGTTCATAGTCAATGGTTTTATCACGTGTGGGAACTTGGGATCCTACGTTGTATAAATTGGTGACCATCCTGAATCATCTCCCCACATATGTCTCCATCTGGGACCAACACTAAGTAGATAATTGATGTAAACTCCTGATGACCCACAATATATGGCTCTTTGCTTGGCTTGATCCTTTGAGACTAGGAAAATCTCATTTTCTTTGGTTGGCTTTTGGTGCGGAGCTCTGCCCTTACTCCTCTCTCTTAATTTATTGGTTGGATGGAGATGTGGTTTTGTGTGAAATATGTATGGTGTTCGTATATGACAAGGTTGTAGTATATTTGACTAAGGGTTTCACTCCGTCTGTATACGCATCTGCATGCATTTTCTACTGTATTTTGATTTCAGCCTCCTACAAAAAAAATGTAATATCACCAACTACACCCAATTGGGTATGGATGAGAGCGGGTTCAATAGTATCTGGAACCATTTGCATACCATTTGTGTCACATGCTCATAGTGCTAGAGGTAAAAGCCTTTCTTCATGAAACATAATCCTAAGGTATGCCGGACCTTATATGTATTGGGCCAAGACATTTTAAAAACACTTCAGCGATTATGAATACAGACTTACGGGAGATGTTTCAATTCATTAAATTAAATAAATGAATAGATATTTATACGTGCCTAGGATCCACCATTGTGCCTTTATGCCCTTTTTCTGTTGGGTCAATTGCAAGTTAGGAAGTGGTAGGGCGTGGTGGACTTTGATGGCGTGAAAAATTAATTTTCGGAGTAACTCGTGTCACATCACTGTATTTTTTTGTCCTATTACATGTAAGAGATTATGTAGTGCTGTGTCCAGTCCTAGTATTTGGGTAGGGTGCATTAAGTGAGCTATGAGGTAAATATAAATCCTTTTTTGAGTTTAATTTTTTCCCTGCAAATATTGAGTTTTGTGCTTTTTGGTTGATCACATGCTTTCTGATTTGTGGTGTTTATGTTGTTTGCCTTATAAACCTAGATTTGTGGAAGGAGAGCAATCACATGCTTTCTGATTTGTGGTGTTTATGTTGTTTGCCTTATAAACCTAGATTTGTGGAAGGAGAGCAAAGCCAAGTCTCAATGGTGGATTGATTGCTGTTGTTTGCCTTATAAACCTAGATTTGTGGAAGGAGAGCAAAGCCAAGTCTCAATGGTGGATTGATTGCATCATCTTAGGTATGAACAATTTCCTGTGCTTTCTGTCAGCAAACCTATGGTTCGATACAGAAACCACATCAGCAATGGTGGGGTTTGGTCTGTTAAGTTTTTACTTTAGAACAGTTACTAATGGCCTGACACTTTCTGGGCTTGTGATCTACAAAAATTCTCAGTGAAGGGCTGTCTATTAGCTTTATGAGAAGGCGTCGATTAGCGATATAAAATTGGATTTTGACAACAACAGCAGATTACGGATGAGGGTGTGGGGTTCTGTGGAGAAGAGGGTGGGGGGTTCCTGTGAGATTACTTAGAGAACATGTAGAGAGTGGAGTTTACGACTTACTCAAGATGGTTAAGCTACTTGTCACGTAAGTTTTATGTTAACTGGGCACTGCAGGTTTAACAGCAGCAGATTAGAGTTCAGGGTGTGAGATACCTTGGAGAACATGTAGAGAGTGGAGTTTAGAACTTCAACCCAAAATGGTTAAGTTACTTGTCACATAAGTGGACTGGGGACTGCAGGTTTAAAAACTGCATGGAGTACTCACATGAGATCTCTACGTTTAGGACAATTCAAGATCATGGTGGAATGTGTTTGCTCTATGCTGCTGCTGGAAACTGGTTCACGTTTTACAAAATCTAGAAAGCATCACTAGTGCCCAGTTTTGAAGCAGGCATATTGTGTGGCCATTTGCTTCCTTTGTGTGATACGTTTGCTGAATGCTTCCTTAAGTGCCCCGTTGTCTTCACGTAAATTTGAATGAACTCGGATGTATAATTTGATGTGTGTGATATCTTTTCTGAAGACTTGGCCTTTTGTCCTTGCATAGTGTGCTTGAGCTCATGTGCAACTTGTTTGATGTCCGTGTGATATGTGTGATCTGTCTGCCAAATGCTTCCTTGTATGCTTTTTTGTTTTGGCCTAACTGTTGACAAGCTTGTATATTTCTTGATATGTTTATGGCTCTTTGCACCTCCGCTTCCCACTCTAATGTGCGTTTACTTGTTTTGTGTATCTAAGTGAGTGATGATAATCCAACTGTTTCCCTAGCGTTGGTACTGACTTGTTCTGATCTTTTTGCAGGAAGAAGAGACCGAGGAGGAGGAGTGATGGTCCTGACTCCCTTGCAGAAACCCTCGCAAAGTGGAAAGAACTCAACCGTCAAAATGATACATCCAAAGACGGTAGAAAACCTACACAAAAGGTACCCGCAAAGGGATCAAGAAAGGGGTGCATGCGAGGAAAGGGCGGTCCAGAGAATTCCCACTGCAACTACCGCGGCGTGAGGCAACGGACATGGGGAAAGTGGGTCGCTGAAATCCGAGAGCCCAACCGTGGGAGCCGCCTCTGGCTCGGCACTTTTCCTACAGCTCTAGAAGCTGCCCGTGCATACGATGAAGCTGCTAAAGCGATGTACGGATCCCTTGCCCGTCTAAATTTCCCCGACCGCAAAGAAGCTTCAACTGCTACCACCACATCAGAATCGTGTGGTTCTACTACAACATCACATCCGAGCGTATCATCAGGAGGGGAGGACCATGAACAACTGACGTCTCCGAAACCAGAACCAAAAGATGACCCAAATGGGGAGAAGCTATTTGGGAACCTCGATCACATCCAGGATCTCCCTGAAGAGATGTTCGACGTTGAGGACATGCTGAGGATGATGGATGCAGATCCGAATAACATGGGTCAACCTGAAGGCGGAACTGCAGGACTAGAGTGGCAGTATGACGGTCCCCTGGCTTATGCGAATGTGGGTCTAATGGAGCCGGATCCTTATGGTGTGGATTACAGGTACAATGTTATCAGGCCAATGAGGCAAGATGTCGACTTTGCGCCTCTGATCGACCAGGAGGTGTTTGATCCTGAATTCGGTGGGTTTTAGTTGAACTTTTCTTCAGCAAGCTCTGCTTTCATGGATTTAGTTTTTGGCATGGGGGTCTTTCTCATACTCTTGAATATTAGGGAGGGTTTATGGGGGAGAACTCTGTCAGGGGCGAGGATGCATTTTTAGTCTCCTGTAGTATTTATAAAGGGTCATGTTCTTGTGACGCGTCCTAGGATTTGTTTTGGTTCTTCCGTTTGTTGCTTATACAGATTGCATTCTGGAAGCTGGATTGTGTAGAACTGTACAGTTGAAGTAGTGTACCGAGGTAAAAGGCTTCTCGTTGATTATGCCTCTGCTCGGAGTGGCGCGCGAGGCGAAGTTTTTTCTTTTTTTGGTTAATCATGTGTCTATTATAGAGATTATTTATTGGTGCAAAAGAATATATAGGCCTTTTTCCTATTTTGTAGTTTTTGTGGGATGCCTCGGGCGAGAGATGGCACAGAATTTTTTTTTATCACAATAATGTAATTGGTCCTTATGTGAGGTGGATGAGAAGAAGTTGTAATTTATTTGCGTTAAGAATTTTATGCATCATGAAATTTGCCTTTGAGTTGCCAAAAGCCGGAGTAATCATATCTGTGCAAAATTTTCTACTGGCATCATTCGAGTAGACAACAATGTCAATTACTACACCGTGACAAAAAAAAGCATCATACTCATATCCATCCATCTGAGATAGTGACTGTTGCTACATAATAATAATAATAACAACTAACAGCTCAAAATGAGGGCTACGGGGTAAATTCATCAAGCCACAGTTTTTGTTGATGGAGAATTGGATGAAAAGGTCAAAAGTAGTTATATGCTGACTAAGCAGTAGATGGGAGTGGTTTTTTGAAACTAGTATAATTTGAAAACATGTAACAGGACCTTAGGGCTAACTCCGTAACAAATAGACTTCCTAATGGTGAAAGAGAAACAAATTTCACTCAAGCTATTTGCAAAAATAAAATTAAAGGGTTACTGAGTTAAAAACAACAATACTAGCGGGGTAAATCATAGTTTACTGTCAATTGTTACTTATCTAGAAAATTGTATGCGGATGAACCTTTTTTTTGGGGGGTTCCTCTACTAAGGCATAGTGCCTCCTAATATCTCCTAATGCATCTTCACTTTTCATTTTGTGCATAAACACAAAATACGAAGATGTACTATGCGATGAAAGGTGGAGATGCATTAGGAGATATTAGTAGACACTATGCCTTAGTAGAGGATCCCAATCCGAT